ATGGTACCAAAATAGTAGAATATATTATTTTGCTTGAAGGAGCTATTAATATTCGATATAGGAATGGTACCGAAATAGTAGAATATATTATTTTGCTCGAGGGAACTATTAATACTCGATATAGGAATGGTACCAATTGAAAATAGTAGAATATATTATTTTGTTCGAGGGAGCTATTAATATTCGATATAGGAATGGTACCAAAATAGTAGAACATATTATTTTGCTCGAGGGAGCTATTAATATGCGATATAGGAATGGTACCAAAATATTAGTATGTATTATTTAGTTCGAAGAAGCTGTTATTATTCGATTCGTATTTTCCCATGGTGCAATGCAGGACATTAACTCAAACAATCTTGATACAAACAATGCACGTACGTAACGTGCTTCATAGCGATAGCTGCGCAAGTCTCTGACTGTACACAACAGTAATTCCTCCTAGTGCTCAATGCCAACAATCCGCACTGACTGAAACTCAACTGGCCGCATAGCATTGGAATTACATGGGGAAATAACTCACGGGATAATATAAATAATGCTATACAAGAGAACCGGTGATGGATGTGAACCATCACTGCCTCAGCACAAATATTGTTGTGCAATGCAAGGGAATGTAAAGGGAAATGTACTGTAGTGTTACCTCTGTGTAATTTACAATATATCTGAATTAACCTTCCCTGTAAAGGACAATATTGGAGTTGACTTAAATGACTGGTAGAAGCAAGGCTGGTAAGATTTTGCGAAATAGTAGTTAGTTAGAATTACCAGACACGCAATCGACACATTGTGGGATATCGAAATATGGATGATAAACAGCAAGTGATGTTTCAAGAAATATAGTTGGAATTGAAACAAAGGAGTGTCCTATTAATCCATGAAACGTAATCACACATATCAGTGACAAATCCGTACATATCATCCTGTCTTATTGTGTGTGGGGCAAAGCTGTCATGCACACAATCATAATAACTGGAAATGGTTTCAGAACGGAAACATGTTTTATTGCTGTAAATAATTATGAACAATAAAAACTGAAATTTAGAAAAAACTATGAACAATTAATAATGAAAATATGTGATTTGCTGTACAGTTTTCAGAAAATTATTACAAGTCCCAGAAGTATTGGGGCAGCCAATTTGCAAACTCGCTAGCGAATTGGTTAACTGTTTGGGTTTTGACTCGATGTTACCACAACGAATCGTTTGGATGTGAACATTTAATTTTATCCCTGATTTGTAGGAAACTGTTTCTCAACTTGTCTCTATATTTGGTTTCAATCAGTGTTCAAGATGGCTTCCCCCATATAAATTATTCGTACTACTTTTACATTATCACGCCTCGCATGACAAAGCAAATCGTCCAGATGACTCCAGACACGTACCAGGCCAAGTAAAAACATTCCATGTCACCCAAAGCAATATAGACTCGCCCAGAGTCGGCGCCATCGAGATTCGAAAGCCAACTGTTTAGTCAAAACTCAAGCAGTTAACCAAGTCCCTAGCGATTTTGCAAATATGCTGCCCCAATACTTCTGAGAACTTCCTTGTAACAAAACCATGGCATTTATAAAAGGCACAGTGCTGATATTCACTTCGAGTATATCTGAAATATATTCTTACAGTTGCATACGACTCGTCAAAACGTACAGTTTGGTGACAGTTGGGAATGATACCAAGATTTAACAATTTCTTGAGAACATCGCTATGTTCTTTTAACACATGAAACGGATGTGCATAGGTCGAATTTTGTATAGTTTCAAGCACCCTTATATATTTTGATAATAAACCCCTCATTCACATTGTGCAAATACAAACAAGACATTAAACTTCCCTGGCAGTAACATGTAAGTCTTGTATAAACCCAATGAAAAGTCCGGAGTCAGGGCGAATACTACTAGCGAGCCACCCCTCTAAAAACGTCATTACTGTGGCCAATGACAGTGAACTTTGCTCTTCCATAAAGCAGCAGTTTCCATCTTCCAATAATCAAAATGTCCTGGGAAATCATGTCTACAAGGACACGTCTTTTGGCAGCATTTCTTGTATTATTTTCTATTGCACAAAAAAGCAGCAAATACGGTTACTGAGCACAGAATTTGCATGAATTTTTCTCTCCGGCCTTTCACGCAAACTGCAAATCAAGTCTCTCACCGCATCCATAGTTATTGACACTTTAATTTGCAACCGCCTTGATGGATATATTGTGACGTATTTTGATCCCCGAAATCTGACCTTGCATTGTGGCTACATTTACTGCCGTTTCATGACACCAGTTCAATTTCCCTTCATTATTACATCCCGATTCCACGATATTTAATATTTAAAACCAACCTTTATTTCACAGTAACTCTAGTTTTCACTTTTCTAAAATTATTTTACTAATCAAAAGACCTTTCATTGCCATCATGCAATCTCCCATAGTACTTCCTTAGGCGATCGCCAACCTCGCTCTCAGTGGCTGCGAAATAACATTTATAAAGAAAGTACGACATGTGTGATTAGCTGGCACAAATGATTCGGGCGGAAATGATTCAAAGTGTCAATGACCTCGAATATCATTATACTTTCATACGCTCATGAAAAATGCAACAGAAAATTTCATAATAAGCGTTTCGCGACAAGTTTCACCATGAACCAACTTATTTTTAATCTGTGGTTTATGACGACCAATCGAGTTTGAAAACTTCACATTTGGATTTACTGTTTGGTAGGAGTATTTAATGTCAATCTATATTATCCGCCATGACACTGGATCACTGGTGCATATATTTCATAATTCCTTCTACGTAAATCACAGTATACTGGAGATTAATACCGAACTATAAATTTACTTGGTAATAGATATTCAAAACAAATATTTGGGTATGTACAAGTCCCCTGCGCGCCAGATATACAGGTTATCAACGTCCAAGAAAACCTCGCGTCAGCATCCTAGTCGTAAACATTTGAGTAACTGAGAAAAATTGAAGTAAACTACGATAAAATCGTTAAATAACTGAAGAAAATCTGCCAACTAGGCTTAACTTAATGACACGGTATCCGCCGATAGAGGGCGCGAATAAAAATTATCGACGAGTCTGCGTTGTACTCTTGAAATTTTCTCAAAAACTGCTCGAACGAAAACGATTTTTTTGCATGAATCGAGTGAAATTAACCAATTGAAATACTTTTCTGGGAACTTTCGCCGTTTATTTATTTTAAGAGTGACTCACATGTAAACTAAAACAAACACATATCATGTTTATTTGCTGTTTTTTCACAGGGAGCCCAGGAACTATAATCAACTTTACGCACTCCCTATGAGCGGGGGGGGGGTATCGGCTGGTATCTAGTGTAAGAAATAGACAAGGGATGAAGGCTCCAGCGAGCTCATATTTTTTAAACTGGAAAACACAAACGAACAGAACGAAAAATAAAATCTCTAAAAAATACCAGGTTGAAGAATATTAGTTGCTCTTTCAAATTTCGCCAAAGCTTCACGTATATTTTACCTATATCTGCAGAATAAATCAAGAAAACTACACAAATTGACTCCATTTATTAAGAACTAACGCACATTTTTATTTTAAAAAGTCACATTTTGGTAATTATTTCAAATTTGGGACGGTGAAAGTAGCTGTAATTTATTTACATGTTTGGAAAGAGTCGTAAATGTAAGTACGACAAAAAAACATCAAAATTGAATGGTATTTATGGAATACCATAAACTTAAAACAGGAGGGTCCTCATCTGCGCACGCGCGGGAATTGAGTCCCAAGTGACGATAACAATACACGCTAAAAACGCAAAGGCTCATGGGTAGACGCTTGTTTGTAAGTAAGTAATAAGTAATAACTTTATTGATTTCGTATCCTTATTGGGATCTTGAAAATAATACAATAAAGAATGTTGTTTAAATAAACAACAGCTAGCTAAAAAAGTAACAAAATAGAGTAAACAATTAGAAAATTACATCAATAAGTAAAACAGAACAAAGGTAAAAGAAAAAATACAAGAAATGTAAAATTGAGCGATTATTTTGGGGCAGCTGGTGGTTTTTTCAGTGTAATATCTCTGCGGTTAAAGCAGTTAAAAATGTATTTTGCATAGTCAGTGATTTCTTTGTTGTCGGTAAAGGTGAGCAATGACACACTATGACCATCTGACGCATGCGCAGGTGACGACTCTTCCGTATTAATACACTGCCAAATCATGGTTATCTGCTGCTAAATATTACAAAATTGAACTGAACACACAAATAATTGAGATTATTGTGTGACACGAACTTGGTTATCGTTAAAGGGCGTGTTCGAATTTCACGTAAAAAAACAACGTATTTTACATGCCGTGTCTACGTCGCTACACCGCCGTTTACGATATACTCAACCGGGTGCCAATAGGCCAGCAAATCTAAAAATATTTAAATATCGGAAAAATTATTAAAATACGAACGTGTTAGCATATTAAACCACGAATCACACGATATTAGGCACTCGCTTGGCTGTTATTTACCACAGATTAGTCTACAACAATTACATGTTGTAGAGTTGAATTGAATAGAATAACTAGTTTTCATATTTGCATAAAACACACATTGTATTTCATATTCAATTCGTCGAAATGAGGTAGTAGTTTTACATATTACACGTAACCACTCCTTGGAATTCTGAGAAAAGAGTTTCCTTTCGGCGGGTTTAAAAGTCACAACAGAACGTACCATTTATTACAGCTAAACAGGGTTGGTACGTATGCTTTAAGGGGAAAAGGGCTTGGTGGCCTTGTGTGCGGTTCAAGTTGATCAACACGAGAACCTCTTCGAAACTTTATGATCAATTGTGACGAATAAAACCCAACCGGTGCCCATTTTTTTCAAAAAAATCCCCTATAAAAAAAAAACATTATATGAGTGTTAATCCCAGAGTTGACTTCGACCTTGGAATCGTCCAATTCGTCCATTCACAGTCCGGGATAAAGGGACTGTGGTCCATTATATATACTCTCATTCAGCTGGCTAGCGAAGCTCGAGTCAGGAGTAAGCGAAAGCTGCCTGGTGTTCTGTTTCTTGAACAGTGAACATTCTCCAAGTATGGCTGAAGCTACTGTGCAAGCAATTTTTCAAGTTGCTAGCGAAATCTATGATATTGTTCAAGAAGTGAAGGCAAACAAGGAGCGCTGTCAACGATTCGCGACTCGTGTACGATGCCTAGTCGAGCCCCTCAGGGGTGTGAGGAGGTTGAATAACGCTGATAACGCGATTTATGAACGGGCTCTAACCCAGCTTGAAAAATGCTTGAGAGAGGGTAAGATTTTCCTTGTCAAATTTAGGGATGCAGGAATTATCAAGAAAATCTGGAAACGAGAAGACTATAAGAGCGATTTTGATAACTTCAATGTGAGACTGGACGGCCTTGTATCGGCGCTATCGTTGGGATTGGAGGCAGCTACGAAGGCCAGAATTGATAAGATGTTTGAACAACAGCGAAAGCTCAACGAAGACCGAATGGATGAAGAAATAGATTTTAATAAATTATTAGAGGACTTGAAAGAAGGTAATTTAGGGAGTAATTTATTGTATATCCGATTATGAACAGAGGAAGGCGGATGGATGGATATGTAACGCATGTGCGTGTGACGTCATGATTGAGGTCAAACGTTTCGAGGTAATAACTCCACATATGGTTAGGTGAAGGTCAGTGTTTGAACGCAGTACCACGACCTGTGGGTTGATTATTTCCCGAAACTTGAACAACCCTGATGGTTACTTTCCGCGATGACCGAAAATCCAAATAATTAAATAAGATCAGTACTATTCATACTCTCAGCGCAACAAAGGTATTTCCTTCATCTTTATAACTATTTATAAATTTCAATGGTATTTGAATCCAACCAGCCAATTAACGAGCGCAGTGTCCAATGTTATTCAATTGGCAAATATAAACCTCTCCATTCATTTTGAATTGTAAAATTTATATTTATTTACTTATTTATTTATTTGACATATAAGTATTTGACTTACTTTAATCAATTTTGCAATTATTGTTCACAAAATGCTGCTGGGTTTGATGTTCCAAACTTTTTTCAAATGAAATTATAATAAATGATAATTATTATATATTAGGTAATATTTTCCATAAGAATTACAGATAATGCAAATTGTTCTAGCGTACAGCTGCAAACAGGAAGTAAAAAAAACTCCAGTGGACACCTAATCGTTTTTGTCATGTGTTGGCTTGGCAAAACAAATTAAAAAGAGACCCCGAAAATAGTCATAATAATTGCATCCTATAAATCTAATTACATTCCTTTTCATTTTGTGCAAATGGTACTATTTGGTATTTTTGTTGCTTTTTTAGCACACAAGGGTTTGGTGTGTCTGTGTGACTATGCAAAATCTCAAAAAACTCTTTTGCGAATTTTGATAAAATTTGATGTGCAAGTACTGCTAATTTGCATCTTATTTTATTTTCACTGAATCACTACTTCAGTGAAAAAAGCAAAAATAAATTCCAAGCGAAATTAAAGTATTTTACAGTAGTTCCAAACTGCAATATGGTTTCTAAGGCAATGCACTATACATACATGTCGGGACTCGCACATTTAAAAAAAAATAATTTCAGGAAAGACATCAGTGACATTCAAGGTCCAGAAAAGTTTTGTTCGAACCAACGCGTAGCAGAAGTCAATGCATTCCTGTACTGCCTGAGTGCTTACTTTGTGGTATTCTCGTAATAACATTTTTACATTATACATATTTTTCCTTGCTTGTAATAGTAATTTAATGAGAGATGACATAACACTTAACAGCCTGAAGTAGCAGTGAAAAGTGTTATGAACGTTGGGTTGACGGGATTCTATTTCTGTAACAATTTGTAACAAACAGATGAATTCTAGTGTGTTTGGTGTAAAATATATAATATTATAAGGTTATTACGAGAATACTTCAAAGTATGCACGAAGACAGTACAGCTGGAGTATCGACCGACACGCAGTGTACTGTCTGAGTGCATACTTTGAGGTATTATCGTAATAACCTTATTATTATACATCTTTTCCTTCCAAGGATACATCATGGGAATATCAAAATTCAAAAAGTTTAGAACAGAATCAGCGAACTTCTTTGTGTGGAGTCCGGTCAAACCCCAATGGCAGCCATGTTTGTTTGTGTTTTTAGGACGCTTACACACGTAATCATTCCATATTTTGAATTTGCATATCCTAATATATGGTAGGAAGAAAATACCCTGTAAAATGCCGCAAAATTACGACACGTTGTAACTTATGCCGTTCGGTTACAGATGTGTAATAATGTGTATTATGTATTTGTTATTGTTATTAATACAGGTCAACAGAAGATGAGTGTTGACATGGATTCCAGATTTGATGAGGTAGATGTCTCTCTTGAAGAAATTACAGAGAAACTGGATGATCTTCGGATGAGTAAAGAAACAAGTGGTAAGTCTTGGTATTTGTTACCTTTTTTGTTATTTTGTTAATTAGGCTCTAATTAAAGTTATAATTGCAAATCAATTGCCTGTGGACCACCAGACTGAATGTCTCAGTCTGTCCACATTACTTGACTGTGTAAATAATGAAATGAATTTTGAAACCCAGTATTTTAAAACGTATTGAACATTCACTCACACACATTCATATTCTCCACTGATGGTCAAGATAAATGCGGTGCAGATAACATTTTATGCATCTCCATTGATATCACCAAAATGTTCATGTCAGCATTTTCTCGGCAAACTCTCATGCATTGTTGAGTTGGAAATAACAAGGTTTATTTCCAAAACAATAAACATAGGCCATACAAAATGTTGAGGAATTTCTATACTTAAGGTTCAGGTTAAGGTTTATGATCAAGTGGCATTTGTTCTCATTTGTAACCTTGAAATTTTACAACTGTTTGCCAAAGCATTACACACTCTGTCTTCAAAATTAAATATAGAATGGAAACCGCTTCAGGTTAGTTTTAGCTCTAAGTAGCATAGAAACACAGACGAGAAATAAACATAGAGGCAGAGCTGATATTGGTCAGGTTTCTATCTTAGGTGATCTTTTGGATGAAGGGCATATTATTTTTGGCTCAAAACCTTGCCCTGAGTAAACTTTTTGGGGAATTTTAGTTATCATTATTTCAATCTCTTTAAAAGCTTAGATACAATAGTCGTGATAGAAAAAAAGGTTTGTATTTACAAATTGCAAGATTCTAATTTAAGGCCTCACATGATTTTTAGGTGTATGTCAAAGGCCTTCATTTTGTTCCAAACTTAAAATAGGCATGTATTACTTACTGTGAAACGATATCCTCCCATGCACGAGTTGACCAATGAAATGCCAAATTGTTATCAAGATCTGTAGTCATTAAAAATCTATTTCGCCCAAAATTACCAAAAAATATGAAGAAAAAGTAGAAAATTCAAAAATAGGCAAAATGTTGCTGCAATTTGTTGGCAGGTAAATAGTCACTGGATGCTTTTACAGTATACCATTGTGATTTGTTGACTCAGGAACACACAAAACATCCCAGAAACCAGAGAGCTTTCAAGTTTAACTTCTTGTTTATTCCACCATTTTCAGTTACACCAATTACATATTGAGTGATCAGGTGACATACAACACCATTACAAAAGTATGTATTCTGACGCATGCAATAAAGACGTCACAACCATCTATATCTCAATCATGATGTAATTAACAAAAGTACATGTTTATTATTATTTATTCACAATTGCTTCAGAGCACGATAAAAAAATCGGTCAACCAAGTGATGAGCTGAAGATCATAGAAAGTGAAGAATTGAAAATTAAAGAACTGATAGGAGAAGGTCGAATCGGTAAAGTCTACAAAGCTGTTTATAACAAGCACACTGTTGCTGTTAAACGATTCACAGAAAAGTAAGTGAAGATATTTACATAGAAATTCAAATACTTGTTTCACACGTGTCCAGGGATTGCGTTAACCCCATATTTTGCTTCCCGGACTCGAATTATTGAAGAGGGAACCAGTTTTTCAGGCAAGCTGGGGTCCAATCGCTAATTAAGTTATCCAGGGTCAAATTTCAATTTCTTAAAATTTTGTAAGTGGGACTAGCGCAAACCCTGCACGTGTCCATGTCTCTCCATGTTGGTCTGTCAATTGGTGCAAAATTTGTATATAAATGGTTATTTAAATTATTTTATTATTGCGTCATAATAAGTTTTTGTCAGATGATAATCTGAAACACTGTGTCTGAAACAAGAACTTTTCAATTCTGTTTGTGTGTGCATATGTTTGTGCATTCGATGTCATTTTTTGTACATAGGCCACACTGATTTAATTTTATGGATGACATCCTCTGAAGACCCCAAAACTAATGCGAGAGGGCGAAAAAAAAAAAAATGCTGCTAAAACCACAGGACTACGGAGCTATTATTACGAATTTAACCACAGTGTATCAAAAAAACAACAAGTCTTTATTTGTAGGAGGCACATGCTGATGTACACATTTCGTACTGTATTACTGTCACAGGTATCATCACCTTTGATTTTGAAAAGGCAATATGGTAAGGCAGATGTTAGCTTTGCCAAAGGCATATACATCAACTCAATAATAAAGAAAAACTTACTGTGTTGTATTGAAAAAAAAATAATTAAAAATGAACAATAAGTTTGTCAACAGCAACCTGGAAATTAACTTCTTTGACATTCAAACTACAGCTTTTAAAGTGACACTTCAGATAGACTAAGTGTAGACACAAATGCTCAAGAACTACTTCGACTCTGTAACAAATTATAAGAGGCTCGATATTGAAAAAAAAAATACCAACCAGAGAGTCAACAAA